GAAAGAGTGGGCCTCCTTCCCCCTTGGGCCTGGGCCCACTCCTCCACCACCCCCCTCCCTGAATTGGTCCTGAACCCACTCCTCCCGTTTCCAAGTGGGCCTGCTGTGGGGGGCGGGGGGAGGGAGAAGCAGGTGTACAGATATTAACAGAATGAAGGCTCTCACAACTGGAGTGAATGCTGCTCCCTCCATTTGAGATGAAGGATCCCCCAGGAGTGGAACCTTATTTTTTCTAAGAATACTGCTTTTAGGAAGAGTTATGGAGCAGGGTGTTATCCATCCTGATTAAGTGCTACCTCTGCTGAGAGATACTGTTCAGAATAATTCTGAAACTAGGGATAGAAGGGGAGGGGAGATTGCCATCCTTCACAAGGTAAATTTGAATAATGAATGGATTCCCTTATACATATCTTATAAGTTAAAAAAAGGCAAAATTAGTCAGGTTATTCTGTCAGAATTCACGAATCAGCTACCTACATCCTTGTTTCGAATTTCTCAGAAGCAGGTGAATACAGGCACTGTAAAAATCTAGGATTGTAAGCACGTCTAACTTTTCCTTCAGTGCTTAGCTATCCCAGTTAGCAGGCATTAGCCCTTCTCTTGAGCCTGGCACATGAAATGAAACTCTCTAAAAAGCTATAAAAATGGTGCACATGTTCAGGATATTTATTGCCAAGGTATAACTTTAATTCTGAATATGGGTGGGTTGAGCGAGGAATGGAGCATGAGCAATTTCTGGTTCCTAGGCTAACTATTTCCTCTTCCTTCCCTATTTGTATTTGTTTCTTACTAAGCTTTAAAAAAATCCAGCTCTATTGAGCTTTCCAAAGACAAGATACGAGAATCAAATAATAAATCCCATATAAGAATAAAATATCAAAATAAAGCATATTGTGTCTTGTTAGAAGAACTCACAAAAGTGAACTCCAAAGAATACAGCGTAAGTACAAAAAGTAGGGGTTACATGATACTTAAGTGGTCATCAGTCCTTGCACTGGAGCTCTATACATGGGAGAATTTATCTCTACAGAGCTAAATCCTTCAGTTGGAGGATTCCTCTTCTTTGGAACGGGAAAATGCATCATTTTATCAATTGTATCTATACTGTATTTCCCATATAGCTGTGGTACATTGTTCTAAATTTGAAATAGTATTTAAAACAGTCTAGTTTTATTTCAAATTTGGTTTGAAGGTAGAGGGAATTATCTCCAAGGAAATACTAGGATTAGGATGGGGTGAAGGGCTGGGTTCAGAAAACAAGAAAATGGGTAGAGGGGAAATATAATCTTTCTCCACAAGAAGCACTTCACTACAGCAGGCTGCAGCGGAGTAAATTCCTAGAGAAGCAAAACCAAAAACACACAGGATATAACACAGGAACAAGAGAAAGACAAAAAATTCATCCTCCTCTTAAAACTATTCATCTTGGTATGAACAAATGAAAAGTGCAGACTCTGGGCATCAGCAGTCAAAGCCTGCTGAAAATGACCCCTATCTAGTTTTCTGGAGCAGCTGCAGTTGATGATAAGTGGGGCTCTTCACCCTGTCCTTTCAGTCTTCTGCCATTAAGTAAACATGTTTTTGACAATGAAATCAGCACATTGCTCTAATCTGATTAAACAACTGAAAACAGAAAAAACTCTTATTTCTCCTTCCTGTTCAAGCTCAGCCAGGTCTGTCTCTAATATTGCTACACAATCTAACAGGCCACTGATCAATACTGATCAGGGGTCTACCACTGTAAGATCCTAATAGACTGATATCAATGACACACATGTATTAGAGGCATTATTCAAACCCTAACAGTGGGAAAACATGCCGATTTTCCCTAACTCAGTGAGACATACCAGAAACAATAACACTTTTCTTCTTCAAATCTTTCCTTCAAATATCTCATTTTGTTTAGCCTTACATCACCAATCCTCTCTTTGGTATTGTGTTCACACTATCATGCATTAACTGTTTATTATTTGCATTTTGTCTCTTCGCATGAAAAAAATAAGTCTTAGAATCTTGTTACACCTTACTCTGTGAGCTGCACAAATGTTCCGTGTTAGTGCTAGTTCAAGTTTGAAGCAGTCACACTTCAGTAGGGGCCTGGAGGACTGAAAGGTAAGAATCCCCCATACTCCCATTCTGCCCTTCCCCCCCCACCCCCCCCGGGGCTACCTCTCCTGCCCCCACCTCAACTCCATCCCCACCTACTTGTAGCTGCCTGGCTGCCTGTCCCAGGGGAAGCAGCCAGGGAAGGGTTAACTTGCCTGCCCAGCTGCTGTTGCCTGATTGCTGCTCTTCTTGAGGCTGAGTCCTTATAATTCAGTATGAAGATGGTAAGATCTCTGGCCATTTTGATACCATCTGGAGGGGATTTCCATAATTGTGGGCCTACTGCCAAGAAGGTCTGATCCCTTGCATGTAATGGTGCATCTGTCTGTTTTGGATATTTTTACTCCTTGGGGCAAGAACCTTATTTACCAATGTGTTCATAAAGCAGTATGTACCACTACAGGATTTCAGAAATCACTGATAAGGCTAGGCCAAATCCTTAGATCTGTGTTCCAGTTTCATGTGCAAATGCCCTGGCCTATTCCTGTTGGGGACATTAGCTTCTTTCTTCAGTGTTCCCCTCCAAGGAACTCTCTGGGCCTGTCTACACATGAATGTACGCACACCTAAACTTAATGCGCCTCAGCCTAAGGCACATTAATTTGATTTAGGCATGTGTCTACATGTGCATACCTTAAGGCACCTTAATGCAGATTGGTGGGTGAATGTGTTTGCAGCCTGGGCTGGGCAGCACCCTGGACAACCCCCTCATATGTACAGCAGTGCTAGGGCCTGCAGGCAGCAGGCAGGTGCCATGCTGGGAAAATGGCTGGGGGCAGCACAAACAATGAATGCATTCCTGGCTGGGGAGTGCAGAGACAGATGCAGGGCATGCCCAGGGGCCATGGCGTCTGTCAGCACCACGTGCAGAACTGGGGCCACTGGACCGCAGCCAGGGGCAGCTTGGCTCCAAGCAAACAGAGGGCGCACTTGAACCCCCAGGCCATGTCTAGTGACTTGAGGCAGCTGTACCCAATGCTGGGCCAGCACTGTTCCAAGACACCTGTTCGTGCCATAAAGCCCGCAGCAGTGTAGCCAAGCAGTGCAGCCCAATGCTGGCTGAGACAGTTGGCTTGGATGCAATCAGCCTGGCCCAGGCTCAACCCCCTCCCCGCGTTCCTGCTTTCCCAGCATCAGTCAAGAGTGGGCTGGACCAAAGTCTGCTGCTGCTGGGTACTACCAAGAAGAAAAAGCGACTTGGGACTTAGTCCCAGTTGGCACACTGACAGGTACTGCTGGTGCTGGAACTACTGCTCCAGTTCTAGCATCTACACCTCAGAGAACAGTACCTGCCACTTCTTCTTGGCAGCATCCGGTGGTAGCACAGGGCCCTGCAGGCTCAACTCTGGCCCCCACAGTCAATATACACAGCATTAAGGTGTCTGTGCAGAGTAAGGAACAAGTATTTGGGTCTGAGATGAGAGATCTCCAAAGAGACCCATGATCTTGAAGAACATAGCCCAAGCAAAGGATTCTCTGTTTGAGTCTTTATTTTTATTTATGTATTTATTGGTAATAGGTTTTGTCCTGTAGTTTAGGAATAGAATTTTGAATAAAACGTTGTCAGAGACTTTTCTTATTTTTGGACATGCCCTGCCAGCATACAATGAAAAGGTTGTACTATATTAACCATAAACTTTTTTTAAACAGTGTATCCCCTTAGGAGCACTACATTGCTCCTGGGCAAAAAAGGGAGTAAAAAAGACTCAATAAATTCATTATTATAGGGTCATGGATATCCTTGCTGGGACCTTCGTGCCCCAATCTTTCACAACAACACAGGTGTCTTTATAATCAGGGGCAATGCATGTCTGCAGAAACCTCTGCAGCTTGCTGTTTTATAATATGAAATGATTGTGCTCTCACTCGCTCACTCTCAATCTCACTCTCTCTCTCCCCACACACATAATCATTGCATTTTGCTTTAGAAATACTTATTTATATTGATTCATTTCAACCTTCGTCTGGCAAAGAACTCTCAGTTGATGTAACCAGCTGAGCTTTTGCTCCATATCAAAATCCTATCTCTGAGCAAAAGCAATTATTTTAGCTGAAAATCTGCAAAATGATTTATTCTCCCTCTGGACATTTTCTATTCTGTTGCAATTTTTTAAATCTTTGAGGACTTCTTACCCCCTACATATTTTCCTTAACTGATAGTAACCTATAAAAAAGGAGTTGTGTGGTACCTGTCTCTCTTGAGAATGCTAAGATATGCTATTATTCATGAGACAAAGCAGTTTAGGACATTAGATTTCCAATATTTCCCTTCAATTCACATTAAAATATTTTTGTCCTGCTTTTTCTCATTGTTAGATCAACACCAAGGATCTGGAAAGCACTGTTACTGTCCTTGTAAAAAAAAAAACATTCCCATTTCTTCTTTTAGTTTGCATACCTTCAGTTTGCATGTGATTGTTACCTACATTTTGAAGTGCTTAAGACAGCCTGTGATAGATAAAGTATGAAAGGTGCTGCTCCATCTTTTGATCATTACTGAACATATTTCCTTCAGCAGGAAAGACAACTGTGAACCAGACCATGCACCTAATCAGGCTGTGTTTTTTTTGGTAAAATTGATTTCATTAGGACTTGATGGAATCCAGTGGAGAGCTGATAAAAACCAGGAATGCAGTGCTGGTAAATGATTATTAGACATGAACAGGTTTCTTGGGTAGTGTGAGTCATTCCCAAGAACTACTACAGCAGCATTCCCTACATGGACCCTATTTCTCCAGTGAGCAGTCTTTGGCCCAAACTGTGCTATATGAATATAAATCCAAAGTAACCCCATAAGTACAAAAGACTGAAATTTAATAAATAATACAACAGATATTTTAGATGAAACTTTAACATGGAATCTTTCTTTAAAAGGTAGCAAAGTTGGTTAGCTGCTATGTAAAGCTTCAGTTAATTTACTGTACCTTGCCCTCCTGGATGGTGACAACATCGGGCAAACCTCCAAGTACCCGGGCACGATCTGAAAATACACAAATACAGTTTCCTTTAATGTCTACACAATCAACTCTGTCCCAGATTTTGTTTCCCCTCCAGCACTTTCCTTTTATCTTGTTTTTGTACAAGTTGTCCCTGGCACATGCAAATGATGAAAGGTATTCAGTATTCCTAGCACACCAGTTGTAAAATGGCAAATCTTCTGCAAAAGCCACATGTTAATATCTGTCACCTACTCAGTAAAATTGAAGCATAGGCTTTTGCTTGCTGTTACTTCTGATGAGTTCAGTATGAATGCTGGGTATACAAACAATGTAAAAGTTTTTGGCTCAATTTTTTTAAATTTCCAGAGCAATTCTGTGTTTTTAAAAGAGATGAGTTAAAGCCTGTAGAAGAGACTCTGAAGTGGATATTAAGTCTCTGATCTAAATACAAAGACAGATTCTGATTTCAATTACGCTGTCTGGAATAATTACATTGACTTCATTGGAGTTTCTTTGGATTTATACAGGTGTAAACGAGATCAGAATCTAGCCTGATTTATTTTTAGTTTCAAAACCCTACTGCAATCCCATACAGCTAAAATCATGCCCAGTGCGCACAGTTGTTTGCTACAGCTATTCTAGGAAGTGGAGTAAAGTTTTGTTAGTTGTAGCTCTTGATCTTGTAGCAACACATGATGCTTTCCCCTTTAGCTTAATTGTTGTTCACCACTCTGTAAAATATGGACTCTGTCAAAAATAATTTTTTGAAAAAGAGTTGGCAGGTGCAGGGCTTGGGCCAAACTCTACTATGTGATATGCTCCCTCCCTACTCCCCACATCCAACAGAAGTCAGAATTAGAGTATAGCTTGAAAAGACCACTCAATGCTCAGTATGATTACTGGTCATCACATTGGCTGTGGGTGGTGGTGGCAGTGGTGGGGACTGCTAATTTCCTATGAACCTGCAGGAGGTGGGAAGGTAGGGTTAGGGGCCCAGATCACAACATATTTATTATACTTCACTGTCTTTTCAGATTCTATCCCTGCCTGCATCATTTCTTTGCAGATCAGAAAGATGCAGGAAGTGGGGAGAATTTGCTAAAATGTTTCAAAACCCAAAAGGTTGCTAAGAAAGCTTTAAACCCGAAAGTTTGTTAAGAAAAATGTTTACAACTATTTAGCTGGTCTAATAAAAGATATCAGATTTACCCAAAGAACCTTGTTTGCCTATGTCCTTAGACCAGGGGTGGGTAAAATGTAGCCTGGGGGCCGGATGCGGCCTGCCAGGCCATTCTATCTAGCCCATGGGGCCCCTAAAAATTTTAGAAAATTAATATTTATCTGCCCTGGGCTGCCTGTCATGCGGCCCTTGATGGTTTGCCAAAACTCAGTAAGCCGCCCTCTACCCAAAATAATTGCCTGCCTCTGCCTTAGATCAACATGGCTACAACCTATGCCCCTCTAAAATGTTTCATTCATCCATTGTACTCCATACATCTTTATATAGGACAGGATGCCTAGAGAGCTTAGTCCTTGTAGTCAATGTATAATGGCTTTATTCATGGAATTAATTATTAAATATGTGTTTCCTAATTGAGATTATGGTTTTTTTAATGTATATATGTCAAGAAATTCAAAATGTTACTTTCAGAGAGGCAGTGACTTTGGCCCATTATACATATTTCATATTACTGTATGTGATGTGAAAACATTTACCACATGGGATAATTCAACAGCAATTGAACAATTTCCTTCCTTCATATAAAAGTTACTTTTGCTTAGAGAAGGCAAAGAAATTTCAACCTGAAGTTAATCTGGCAATAAAAACAGAAGCAAAAGCTGCAAAAGTCAACTTATTTATAATAATATTGGGACTAGTTAAATATTATCATGCCAGTCATGGAAAAAAAGCCATTTTTCTCTGGTATTAGGATAAACTAATTCTGTCCGCCTGTCTGCCACACACACAGTATCAATTCACAGTGCTAAGGAAAAAATCATAAACAATTTATGGAGATCACTGTAAAAGACAGTCCACTTACTTTTCTCTGCAATGGCAGCTTGCCTATAGTTGAGGGGGAAAAAAAATTCCAATTTTATTTTAAGTTAATTTAGGTTGACTAAGCATGGCTAAGCTTTGTAAGTGCTTTTAATCAGTTAAAGACATTTTCTACACAGTACATCACTTGCTAGTCCTGCTTGTTCCTTATCAATAGAGTCATAAATTTCCACTGACCTTATTAGGACCAAGATCTGGTCCAAAGTCTTTCTTAACATCAGTACAAAATGAACACTACTATATTTTCTCTCTTCTTGAGCACCATAATTGTATTTAAATGACACTTGTTATAAGTAATACTTACTTTAACCTCTGGAATTCAGCATAGGCTTCATCAAATGCTTTAAAAAGAAAAATAATGTTAAGGGTATGTTCATAAACAAGTCATCATACAACAATAACTTATAACTTAAGTTGTAGCCAATAATTTGAAGATTAAAATTAACCAATTTGGTATCACGTAAGACAAAACAACCAGGTAACTTTACTTTGGTATCGTGTAAGACAAAACAACCAGGGATTTAATTAAAATAATTAAATGAAGGGCTGATATATATATATATAAAAGATCAGGCAAATAAGATCAGGCTTAAATGCAGGGATGGAGAGAGAGGCTGTGAGTATCCAACTAAAGCCACATCAGGAACAAAGCTACAATGTTTCAAATTAATTATAGCTTACAAGACATCAAAAAAATCTGTTTTTACAAGTACTTTTTACACCCAGTGCATGCAACTGGTCAAACAACAAAATATTTGGTGTTGACCTGAGGGAGCCAGCCCCATTTTTTCTCTCTTAAGGAGAAGAAAAGCATTTTCCCAGAAACTGAAAAACAGTAGAGAGGGGCAACAATGACTACTGTCAGATCATCCTGTCGCTCAGAGCCTACAGGCACAATGAAGCCTCAAGGGTTGAGACAGCTCTGGAAGGAAAGATTGGAGCTTGGGAACAGCCACTGTATCACTATTCCTCTTGAGATGCAAGAGGTTTCTCAGCGGAACTCCATCCCAAGAATTAATCTACACTCTGTACCTGCTCCCCCCTATTCTTAGTGCTGGTGAAAGTACCAACACGGAGAATTCTGAACAATGAGATCCTCTGTTTTTTTCATAAAAGAGCTATCACAGGGGAACAGCAGAGCAAAATTCTGCTTCTCTTCCTCCTCAATGTAGCTTATATTTGACTGGGTGTTGTTCAGTACATACCCATTCAGTTACTCACCTTTTTTCTTAGACTGCCAAGCAGTGTGAATAATATTGTGTTTTTTTGTAATGTAAACCAGAAACTGGATTTAGACTAAAAGAAAAGCTGTCCTCTGACATCGAGACAAGCTAAAGCCTAAATTGTAATTCACTACCTGAGCACAAGTATGCCAGGATCTTCTTAATACACAGTACCAGGCTGCTTAGGAGTAGCATAAGCATAACGAGAATTAAATCAGAAGAGTAAAATATCTTGCAGCACATAACAACCCACATATCTTAATGTAACTTCTCTCCCAAATCCTGCACTGATTCAGAGATTACTTTTATAGAGTGACTCTTTTACCTTGTCCAGAAAGATCCACCATCTTCGTGTGTGCCTTTTTACCATCAAAAATCTCCATTGTATATTTGCCCTTGTCATGTGGAGTTGGCTCATTGATCTGTAACCAGATCTGCTCCCCAGTGACACCAGTCTTAACTCTGTCTGTATATTTAATCTTGGCATCACTGAAAAATACAAAGCAAAATTAACCCTTCATTTTTATTCTACAAAAAAATGTGAATGCCTTTTTGGCTTCATTGTATCTATCTACAATACAGAATTTTAGGAAATGATTCCCAGGTGGCACATGATGCTACATCGCCATAGCTTGTTGCTGCCTCACTATAGTGCTATGGTGACATAGCTGCTAAAAATAACCATGCACCACTGGGACGGAGAAGCTGTTAATGCACCATCATTTAGTACTTCCTAAAGCAAGTACTAAATGACAGCAAAGTAACAACTGCACCATATGGGGCAGGTGTAGATGTGCCTAGGGTTCTATAGATTTCATAGATTTCATAGACATCAGGGCTGGAAGGGACCTCAGAAGATCATCGAGTCCAGCCCCCCGCCCAAAGGGCAGGAAGTCAGCTGGGGTCATAGGATCCCAGCAAGATAAGCATCCAGTTTCATCTTGAAGGTGTTCAATGAAGGCGCTTGAACCACCTCCGGTGGCAGGCTGTTCCAGACCTTGGGGGCTCGGACAGTAAAGAAGTTCTTCCTTATGTCCAGCCTGAAACGATCTTGAAGTAGTTTGTGACCATTCGACCTCGTCATCCCTTGGGGCGCTCTGGTGAACAAACGTTCCCCCAGATGCTGGTGGTCACCCCTGATAAACTTGTAGGTGGCCATCAGATCACTCCTGAGCCTGCGCTTTTTCAGGCTAAAGAGCCCCAGGGCTCTCAGCCTGTCATCGTAGGGTCTGCTTCCCTGACCTCTGATCATGCGCGTGGCTCTTCTCTGGACTCTCTCAAGCTTCTCCACATCCTTTTTGAATTGTGGAGCCCAAAACTATATGACCAGAATAAAAAAATTTGAAGCTTCTGAGGTCATATTCTTACTGGGGATTATACCATGCCAGGAAAGATGAGGGCTACCAGGTGTCTGAGGAAGGCATTTGTCTGTTTTACTTCTAACATTCACAGAGATCAAGCCATGCATCCTCCATAACCAGACCTGAAGATCTATATGTAAGTCAGGACATATGGGTTATGGTGAGGAGCTCTGTATTTCACTATTTAACCCCACAATACACCTCACTTACATATTTCCTTCTCAACATAGTTTATTCCTTGCTGAGGAAAAATATAGGATTGGAACCGGTCAGGACACAGGCCTGCAACAAATCTATTATTGTATTATTAATATATGCCCGGTTTGAAGACAGTTTGGCACTATGTCAGAATTTGGTCCTTTAAATCGTTTCATTTATCAGTGTATTCCTTCTACAAAAAACATCCATTTACAAGCTTTCCTGTTATAAAGTTAATTGCCTGAGACAAGTGGGAAACTGTGTGTCGAAACAGATGCTCATTTCCCTTTTCTCCTTAAACGAATGCCTTGGGATATACTACAGGGTCAAGGAGAAATTTACTGGCATTTACTGGATTAATTCGATCTGTTCTAGTATCCAATTAGTTTCTAAAACCAAAACAGATACCTATAAATGAAAAAGTGCAACAAAGTGAGACCATGTGATATTAGCTTCCCATTATAAAATACTTAGAGTCCTCCAATGTGAGGTTGAAAGTAGTGATGATGCCACTCCGGAGGAAAACCATAGGTTGTTACAACATCACTCTTACGCTACCTTCAATATTTCTGACAGTATTGACTTGCCTTTCTGATCAGCACCAGTGCCTGTTAGTATAGCTATAATGGCCGAACATCTAATTAGCATGCTATGCCTGTCAGTTCCATACAGTTTTATTGAAAAAATCAGTGATTGAGACTCCTTTTCATGACTAATTTCTTTTGTAATGACCAGAAGAGGAACAGCAATAATATTCATAATAGATTTTAAATAATTGTAATTACTTACTCTAATTTTTCCTGTGCTCCTCTATTCTGGCTGAAATCTTGGAGCTGTCTAAAAGATTTGGATACTCAGCTCCCATTCATTTTAATGGGAATTTGTCATTCAAATCCTTAAAGGCATTGATAAAGACTGAGATTTTCAATACCTTGTTTAGGTAATAACGTTATAAACTGTTGTGTAGGGAGCATTTTTCACATTTTTGGAGTTTGCTTGTCTTTTAAAGATGAGTTTACATATTGAAAGATTTATAACACACCCGTTTGTTCTGTACCTTTAGTGTCCTTGCAATACTGTCAAGTGATAGACTACCTAACCTCCAGTTAGATGTGATATGCACCAACTTCACAAATGGAAGACCAGTAAACATTATCTTCAAATTCCTCCTTCAGGCTGCTACAATTAATGGATCTAATTCTTCTCTTTTCTCAGTTTCACACTGGTGTAATGCTATCAAATTCAGTAGCGCTACAGTTGATTACATGGGCATAAATAAAAGGATAACTGAACCCAGTGCCTTTAACACATGAGTTTCTGTTGAATGTATAAAAAGAAAGAATTTACAGACAGCTGGCAAGCTCTTACTTGAGATGTACTTACTTGTGTGACCAGCTCACCCTCAGATCTTCTACATAATGACTAACAAAGGAGTATAATCTGATACCCTCTTCTGTGCTCTGGATTTTCAGTTCTGTTGCAGATAAAGCTGAAAAAAAGAATATGTGTTTAATACAACCCTAGAACCATTCATGGCATGGCACAATTAATCATTCATCTGAAGGAAGAATTAAATCCTTACCAATTATTCTACATACTTCATTCATCAGATCTGCAAAGGCTGTGGAAACAAAATCCAGAGATTGAGACACCATGTTCCTAACTCAGACACTCAGAAATGGGATAAAACTGGCTCTGGAGTATTTTGTCAAAAGAGTTCCTATTGAAATCTTGAGTTAACCTTTTAAAATGTACCAGTTACAAATGCAGTACAGCTACCTTTCTTGTCTTTTCCATGGCTTTGGGACGTTATTTAACCCCTTCTGTGTTGAAGCCTGCTGCTGTACAATGCAGTAATATGCTTTTTTTCTATATGTGACAGTGTTCAATGGTAACTTTGTCCCCTCTATGACCTATGTATTGAACATGAATTTTGCCCCACTTGGTAGAGTAAGTAGCAGTAATGTCTTTAAAGTATAAGGAGTTCAGTAACTGGAAATTCTTTGTGGAAACCTCTCATGTCCATAACATGATCTAGTTGTATACTTTTCTTCCATATTTCTGGAATTATTTCTAACACAGATAGCCATATCAGCTGCTACCACTGTTACCTTAGTGGTGTTATCCTGAAGAAAATTACGCATAACTGAATTAACAAAAGTAAATTTGAATGCTGTTTGTACTGAAAAACGACACCTTCCTATCAAGAGGATCTTATGCCTCTGTAATAAGTTTTGTTTTGTCAGCCTGTTTGTTAAGGAACACCTGAAAAAGATGCAGTAGTTCACCTATGTTATCAAAAAACCAAAGCACTGTCCCTTAAGGTACTGATGACCCAGCTGGTCATCAGTAAACCATTCAGAATGCAGTTCTGACCTGCATCCAGCAGCTTAAGCTCGCTTCTGTCCTTTCCTCTGTCATCCTTCAGTATGACTTCATAAATCCCAGCATCTTTCTTGGAGAACTGTAAAGTAACAAGAGTAAATATTAGCATTCAAAATTATTATTTTAAAGAACTGGATCATTGTTATCAATTGTCCTGGTGTTTTTTGGTGATTGAAAAGAACAAGAATGCAAAATTCTTCCAGCTATGTTCTTGTTTTAACTTTTCTCTTTTCCTTCTGGGGAACTCAGACACAGAAAGGAGATTAAGGAGCTTGCCTAAGATAATATGTGAAGCCTGGAAGAGAGCAGGGAACTTAGCCTATCTTTCCTGAATTTTAGTTCAGTGAATAACTTCAAGGTAGTGTTCCTGTCACTGACTGATAGGAATGAATGTTCAAGATAGGGATAATAATCCCTTTCCAAATGCACGTAACATACAGCAGAGTAATATTATCTGACTCTTACATGGAAGTTGGAAGCCCTTTATCTTTTTTACACCATTTCCTAAATATCTGCATTCATAGGATTATAAATAGAAATTTGCTTTAGCTGAAACCTAGATGTAAAGTGAGCTTTTTTTATAACCTATATCCAAGTACTTGTTTTTAGTAGTTCTGTTGAAATATCAGATTCAATCAAATCTATGAATTCAACTGAATAATATGGACCTCTACACTGAAAATGCACATTCACTCACCTCTGATATCAGAAGAGTACATACACCATCTTTAAAGTCATGTTCCTCATCCACCATTATTTCCCTGTCATCTTTGTACCAAACGATGTGTGTTTCCTTCTTAATGTTAGCCACCTGTAGCATATGCAAAACACACTTGAGTTATCATCTTCTTTTAGCACAATTAACTTAATGCTGCATCTACTAAACTCTTCCCTGAGATGGCACAGAACCCACAACAACAAGCACCTCAGAAAATGGATTTAACAGATTAGGGAACAAAAAGCATAGGTCAAAATCAGGAATCCACAGGCAGGGAGGGAAAATACAGTAGGAGCTATTCTGAGAGAGTTCAAGGAGTCAGCCTAGAGCAGAGGTATCAAACATATGGCCATTGTCTTGCCCCTAGTGCTGCCCCTGGGTCTGAGCTGACCCACACATACTGGTCTGGCCTTGCAGGCAAGGGCCAGGACATACTGGATACCACCACTCTGGGATCTGTGCAGCATGTTGGCCCCATCCCCCTCACCAGTCTAGGTGCCTGCAGGTGCCACATGCAACATGGGTCCCAGACCAGGTGGACTAGTCATTGTATGCAGCACAGATCCCACAGTGGCCATAATGACCACTGCATATTGTGGATCTGTCATGTCATGGTTGGGGAGGAGGTGTTGAGGAGGACAGGGGACCCACGAGCCCAATCTGGCCTGTGTACCCATACCAGCCTCTCACCACTCATCCAGCCCTGGGGCCAGATGAGTTTGACACCCCTGGCCTAGAGGAACTATGTTTAGATATGTGAACAGGCATGAGACCAAAAAAAGGTCTTATACATTCAGAGAACCCACATCCTGTTTCAGCTTCCTTTTCCTGGCAGTCAAATGATTTACAGCCCTGGAGAGTAAAGTTCAATCTATTTGTCTATTATGCCCTTGAGCTTTCTTCTCAGACGGCCAAGAAGAGTGCCATTTTTGTTGTTGTTTTTGTATTTTTATTTTCTTGTAACATAGACATGGATGCACTAGACACAAGACTTGTACCCTCAGCTCTTCAGACCTAGGTAGCCGCCAAGTTATAATGTCTGACCTAAGGTTGGAGGCTCCCTAAAAAGGGGAACCTAGGAAAGGGACTGAGAGACTGTGCCCTTCCAATTCTCTCAGTCCCTTTCCTAGGTTTCCCTTATTAGTTTATGTTTGTATTACAATAGTTTCAAGAGGCCTACAGGTTCAAAGCACTGCACATATACAAAAAACAGAGTCCCTATCCTGAGCAGTTTACTCTCCTTCCTGATTTCTTTCTCCCTCATGCACAAGGATTAAGGCTTTGCTGTTTTACTAGGACATTGTACTCACCAAAAAACAGTGGTCTGACCTTATCCAATATTGTACTACTAACTTGACTTGGATTTGAAATATAAGGGTGACCTAACCACTGCACTCTCCCCTAGCTGTTTTGGGCTCAATAGTACCTGGTAGGCCTATCTCTGCATAAGGAAAGCCTGAAAATACCAGCTCTAGAAGGATTTGTGTCCAGAGGCTCCATCTCTCATGGCTTTATCCAATATCCAGGTGGAGCATACTTGTTACTACAACGTGCTTTGATTAAGAGCAGTATGCTTCCCTTCCTCTAACCAATTCTAGTTTTAGGGGCCCTTGCTTCTACTGAGACCCATCTCAAGGCAGCACAGAAAGGTAAAGGAAACTTTCTTGATCTCTTCCCTACCCTGCATGTCCGTGCAATGACTTGCCATACCTGGCCTGGTATATTGTACACTCTTATTTAGCTTGCTGTACAGCAGTGGCGCTCAACTTATCCAGCCCCACAGGCCAGATGAGTGGTGCAGGGCCAATTTGTAGGCTGGATCCAGTGTGGGGTCAGTGCACAGGGTTAGTGCATGTGTGCAGTGATCCAGCCACATGCTGCCCCAATGCCATGCATGGGGTACAGACACAACTCAACCTTGTGTCGATGTGATTCACCACCATGCAGGGCCATGTCATCTGGATCATAGAGTTCCACATGTTTTCAGAAATGTACCTGTGGGGAGCACAGTGGCAGAATTAACACTACAACCATTCCTCCACTGTCAAATTTTCAGACCCATAGGGAGCCCCATGAGCCAGGTGACAAAAGCTTCACAGCCAGATCTAGCCTAAGAGCCATATGTTAAGTATTACTGATCAAGTGTTGAAAATTTGCCTGCTTCTTACCTTACATTTCAATAACACATTGCAGTCACTGGTAACTTCCCATCCCAGATACTCAACAAAATGGGGACCTGTTTAAAATTATATATAAAAAAATATGTATCAGCAATGAATCATAATATAAAAGTACGGTCAACCATTTTTTTAGGCTAAGCGTACACTGACATTGTACGTTTCATATTTCTTCTATACAAGTCAAACAATTATTTAGCAATTTATATTACAAAAATATATTGAAACCTACTCCTATATTTAATTAGCTAATATAAATATGGATTCCTTTCACATCCGTATACTATGCTGTCCAGTACCTTGTTTCCTGTACCATTCCCGCCTCTGGAAGTCTGCTTCATCCTGTAGTTTCTTAAAAACTAGGGATCAAAAATAATAAAGAGAAATGTAAACCTCTCAAACATAACATTTCATTGTATTCAGGTAACTGAATATTATGGTATTGGAAGGGTAAAATCCTGTCCCTGCGGAGGTCACGGAGTTTTGCTATTGACTTCAAAAGGGCCAGAAATGCATCTTGGGTCTTCAATATTACATATCTCAACATTTAACCATATCCACTTTCATGGTGTTAGTACAGGGAACTAAGTTCTACTAACTGCTGATAGTCATCAAATCTTTTGCATGTGTCAAACAATTTTGATGAAGTATTAGCCTTAGTCAGACAATCACATTTGATCCTCAAAGGCAGGAAATTAAGAATGGCAGCCAAATAAATAAGCATTTGAAATACAGACAGCTGCTAGTATATTTGAACAGCTAACCTGAAATACGAGAACAGTTCCAACTACTTCCAATATGCATCACCATAGCATTGTGGATCATTTTCAGTGTAAATAGAAAAGCAAGGAAAGCAAACTGGAAGAAGTTACTACTACACTTGGGCAGTAGTAACCAGCAGCACACTTATAAGATGGGTAACTCCCTTCTTGAGAGCACAGAGGCAGAAAGGGATCTTGGAGTCATCATTGACTCCAAGATGAACATGGGCCGACAATGCGAGGTCACGGTCGGCAGGGCTAACCGGACCTTATCGTGCATCCACAGGTGCATCTCAAGTAGGGCCAAGGAGGTGATCCTCCCCCTCTACGCAACACTGGTCAGGCTGCAGCTGGAGTACTGTGTCCAGTTCTGGGCACCCCACTTCAAGAGGGATGTGGACAACATTGAGAGGGTCCAGAGGAGGGCCACCCGCATGATCCGGGGACAGCAGGGCAGACCCTACAATGAGAGGCTATGGGACCTGAACCTGTTCAACCTTCACAAGAGAAGAGGGGGGACCTGGTCTATAAACTCACTAGGGGGGACCAGAAGGGTTTGGGGGAGACCTTGTTTCCCCTAGCGCCCCCCAAGATAACAAGGAATAACGGCCACAAGTTGTTGGAGAGTAGGTTTAGATTAGACATCCGTAGGAACTACTTCACAGTTAGGGTGGCTAGGATCTGGAACCAACTTCCAAGGGAAGTCGTGCTGGCTCCTACCCTGGGGATCTTTAAGAAGCGGCTTGATGCCTACCTGGCTGGGGTCAATTGAGCTCAGTTTTTCCTCCTGCCCAGGCAGGGGGTCGGACTTGAAGATCTACAAGGTCCCTTCCGACCCTAATTCTATGATTCTATGATTCTAAGTGATAGAGCTATTGTAGGTAGTAATATTTAACTCTTGCATAGCAGTTGTCATATTTCAAGCACTTTGCAAATGTTACTTCATTCATACAGTGCCTGTGAGAGGTAGATATGTATTTCTGATGGCCAAAATCTTGGAACGTTTTTTTCTAATGTTTTTGTGGAATATTTTCCTTTTTATCAAAAAAATTGAAATTTGATATGCTCTATTAAGTGTTCTTATCCCAATATACAGTTGAGGAGACTAAAAAATGACTTGTGCAAAGGAAAAATTAATCCATAGGAAAACACAGATCATCCATAAGAGCACAGATCAAGACTCAAGAGTCAACGGCTGCTTAGTTCAGCCCTCTCATAAAAGCAAAGCTACAAATGAGCTTACCATCACCAATTAGCACAAGGCTGGATTGGTTGGTTGCTTTTCCATCCTGAAGTTGGAAGGTATAGGTCCCTTCATCCTTGGCATCAAGTTTTTCCATGATCATTTCAACCAGACCAGTCTTCTGATCTACATTCATTTTATATTTCTTTAGAAACAAAAAGAAAAGTAAGAATAATGACTGTCTTCAGAACTGCCCCCCCATCACTATTGAGCCAATACTCAATGGTATAAGTTATATAAAATTCCTCATTTTCTTCATTTGCTCACTGTGATTAACACAGTCTGATTATACAACCAAACAAACAGATCTACAGTCAAAACTTATTTATTAATATTAGAACAATATTATTCCTGTTAGAGTCTAAGCATCACATCCCGTTTCATTAGACAGGATTTTTAAAAATATATTTTCATTTCTGCCGAACACTACTGACTCTTGAACCAAAGATAATTGTGGATCTCATCAGCATAGAATACTCTGCTGATATAGAACAGGATAAAAGCAATGGAATTCTATACATATCATACAACTTCCTTGCCTATTATTAATGGAAACTTGCATACAGGTCCCATTCTTGGGCTACATGCAGCCCCTTTTCAGTAGAATTTTATGGCTGTAAACTCAGAGGAAATGGTTGCCTGGAAATCCCCCTTAACATAAGAAGCTTCCCCACAAAGTATAGAAATAACAGACCTAGCCTTACAGTCCCTAGCTGGTGGCCCGGATGAGGGAAAAGAAGGTATGGTTTGAAACTGGGATTCTGGGCTACCGTAAAAGCTTATATAAGGCCATGACAGGCAGTTGCAAGATACAGCAACCCTTGAAACTGCTTCTTCTGAGGTCTGAAATGGTCTTCAGCTACTACTAGCTCTGGGTACCCATGAAGGTGACCTAAAAATGCTTTGAGCCCACCCTCCTTGTCTTCATTCAGCAGAACTCCGCTGCAGCTCAGAATTTGTCCCTAATTTCCACACTGGTGTTTTCTGTTACTTATGATCTCCATGAAAAGGTATTAAAGAAGTATGTTTTGACTGTGTTCAAAACACTTAATTGGCATATTAATATTCATTGTTTATAAAAATCAGAAAACCATAAGCAATTACAAGTCTTACCTCTCCATTAAAAATTTCTTTGTCGTTAAATACAAAGTTGACCTTTGCATTGCCAGACAACTTTTCAGCCTGCAACCAGAATCTCACTTGTCCTTTCTCCATAATTTCAACTGCCAACTCAGACGTAAGTGGGATAGCTACAAAAAGGAAAGAAAGGGTTAGAGATGCTCTTGTCTGTGTTTCACAATTTTTCTTTTTCATATTCAAATGCCATTTCTTCCACAGATGTGCAGTGAATGTATGCATTAACTACCAGTAATATTAATTGCGCACTTGTGTTGAAATCCCTTTTTTTTTGTTCATACAAATAATAAATTAGTATTAATCCCTCTATTATTCACCATTGCCAGATCTGCATACACCTGGAAATATTCAGGATTGATTTAAGTTATATTTAATTGCCATAAAGTTATATTTAACTCCATTCAAGCTCAAAGCCAAACAGTAAACTGAAAATATCTCTGCGGCATGATGGACTTTCCATGGCACAGAACCACACTTAATGATTCACTCTGTAATTAGACTTTAAGGGAGTGGAGTGACTCCGCAGACAAAACAGCATGCAAGGTCTTGTCCTGAAGGGCAATTAAAAAACAAACAGGTGCACTCTAAGCTAGGAAGTTTTTTTAAGCACTGTGAACCCCTGCATGTGAAGTCCTTCATTCCTAAAATTTATGCTGTATGTCATATTGTGCCATAAATCTCAGTGGCTCGCTCATTTTTCCAAAAACAAAATTGAAGTCACTGACAAGGGCCAAATCCATTGCATTGAATGGGCCAGACTCTACTGAATCGTGTTGTGGTCACTTATCCTATAATAACTGTAGTCATACTTTTAGTTTTTTCCAGTACTAACAAGTTCAAAACGTTTAGCATATTTCATTTTAAATCTTCCTTGGACTTTAGTTTACTTAAATCAGATGGTCATTTGAACCTGGTCATATATTGTGCGACTTAAGCTCCCACCCAGAGTTTAAACATAATCAAACTCATAGAGCTTTGTAAACTATGTGAAAAATCCCTCGCCCTCCTACAGGTATCTTGTGCATATATACATATTTTTTAAATAGTAGTTTCCCCCAAAAAATAAGAACCTGCCAGATTGGCAACCTGAATTAGTACATTATTACTTATTCATCTTCTCTCATATAGTAAAATTAGGGTATAACACTATCCCAGAGCTTCACTGCTCAGTCCTGCATACCAGGATCAAGGCCTCCTGCATTACCTTGGCCTAGTCCTGTGTGCCAAAATTGGGGCCCCAGAGCCATGTGCCACTTCTGCTTGGTCCCATGTACCAAGATCAGGGCTCCAAGGCCCTGTGCCACTTCTGCTTGCTCCCATGTGCCAGGATCAGGGCTACAAGACCCTGTGCTGCCTCTGCCTGGTTCTGCATGCCAGGATCAGGGCAGTGAGTCCCCACACTGCCTCTGCACAGTCCATAGGCCACAATTGGGGCCCCAGGGCCCTGCACATTCTCCATCAGATCCTGTGGGCTGGGATCAGACCCTGTGCTGCTTTGAGCATCCAATCTAGTACACAGGGCCACAACCTGTTGGGCTCCCCAGGGGTCTGTGGGGAGCCCGGCAGGCCAGATAACATGGCACCAGGGGCTGGATCTGGCCCAGGGGCTGGGGGTTGAGCATCCTTATGTTACACTCTCAGCCTAATCTTATGTTGTCGAACAGTGGCATATGGTTCCTTTAAAGCTCTTCACTTGCTTGCACTTCCCAGAGCAAATGCACCTTCCAAAGCAGGCAATATACATAGAAATAGCTGCCTCCCAGTCTGTATATGGCCATGACAAACATGTAGAGGCTACACTCTGCATATGAGGCTTCTACTTCTCTCATAAATCATGTACACACACAAACTTTTACTGCCTGAGTAGCAGGGAACCCTCTTTCAATCTTACTAATCTTAAGACATCTGGTATGCGGGGAAATGGGGAACAGTCATAAGGAAAAAAGGAAGCAATAGCTGCTACAGGGAAGATGGCAGAAAGAGTCATTAGGGGTGGGGGGAAATGGGATCTAGCATTAAAGTGACACTTTCCTCTCTGTTTAACTTCTGCATATTAGTACAATGGTGCTGTTAAAAGCTTCCTTACTTGCTTCACTGCTCAGTTTATGAGAAATGAAGGGAATCTAGGATCTTGCATAATCTTTAAAAACAAAGGAATGAAATGTCACATGTACCAGTGTTTGCAGCAGGAAGTGGGTGTAAAAGAAGAAATTAGGCTGTGCTGCTTTTGTCTTACTGTCAGCTCTGTGGCAGTTTTACACTCTTCACTTGATTTGTATGTAATTAACTATGAATATCTTAGCCTAAAATGGAAACAGGGGGGGAAAAGCCTCACAGAAGACTACAATGAGCTAAAAGCTTTTTCTCTTGTGAAGAGAATTCACTCCCCAATCTATAGGAATCAGAGTAACATGACTGAGCACTTGTTTTTCCCAACAAAAAAGCTTATTTATAATCTCTGTATTATGAGGCACTGACTGGCAGCAACACCAGGGTATTTCAGCCTTCCTTCCTATTTTGTATAGGATCCAAAGTATCACAGGCTTTTGATTAAACCTCCTTTGGCAGTTCCAAAGTTGAAAAGCAGGGCTTTCCCATCCTTCTCTGAGTCCCTACATGGCTACTATTCATGCTTGTCTGAGTTCAGTAAGACTGGATTGCTCAGGCAACCCACTTGCCAATAAACTTGCCAGCTGTTGTTGTATCTGAACATGAATTACAATCTGTTCAAGTTAAGCACTGTTCAGAAGTTCAAGCGAGTGAACATGCAAGTATTTAAGCTTAATGTGTAAGTTCTGGAAATTAATATTCATGTACAGAATGAATTTTGTTACTGCTTGTCAAAGATTGTCAGGAGTTGAGACTGAAGCCCCCTACATACCCACTGGATCTCATTACTTTTATTCTGTCCTCTTAGGCATCTGCTAGCATATTTTATCTTATTGTTGTTATTTATGTTTTTACAGTGTCTAAAAGTCTGCTGCTATCCAAAAGGATGCAATAGTTATGCAAAAGCAAAGGCATGGGCTCCACCCTGAAGACATTACACTGTCTAATGTTGGACATGATACCAGAGGTAGGAAGGAACAACTAGTAGTGAGGGGAAAGGTGAGGAAGGACAAATAACAATAGCAATAACATTGTGGAATTACAAAATTGTGGGCGTGAAACTGTGATTAGGCCAGAAAGCAGGTAGTTGAGGAAGAAGCAAACAAGTGGGACGCTGAAGTGGCATCAGGGTGGCAAAACTGTGTCGGTGGATGACACATTAAAGTGAAAGTTGGCTGTTGGACAGGAGTGGAGTTTTTAAAAGAATCAGTGGGAGGATTCAGAATGAGATGGCCGGAGTGATGGTCATGTCCAGGTTTTGGAAGGACTGGAGAGGTGCAGTGAGGGTCTCAAGTAGGCTAGAAGAGTGGAGATTCTGACAACTGAGGCAGATGATCAAAGCTTGGTCAAGAATTTCAGTTCAGATAAAAAGGAATAGTCTATGTTTTGATATGCACCAGAGGTACAAACAACCAGATATGGCCTGGCTATATGAAACAGGATTCAGCACTGTGTACTCCAGTTACACTACCATGATTCACTGAAAAAACGACACCAGGCTACACCAGGCTATTGCTGGATAAACAGAGTCTGCGACCCAAATGCATCCTCCAAGGTGAGAGCCCATGTATGAAGAAGAATAGTCATGTTGTCAACAATAACACCAGTCTCTAAAAGAAAAAGCCAATGGGATGTTTTCAACACAGCCAATACATGGACTGTACTATAAAACATAACTTATAGCATTCTAAATGTGCACTATTAATGTAGTGATAGGACCAGAAAGACTTATTAGAAGGAACCAACCTTCACACACACAAACTTTCTTATGAAACTAGTGGTGCAGCTCCCCTGGCAGAAACTTTGTAATATACATGCATACAAACCTTTCCCCTATGAACATGCTCATAATACATACTTGGGAATTTGTGTTCATGGCTGAGTGCAAGTAGCCTCTTCATTTCTGCAAAAATTTAAAAAAGATATGATATGTAAATATATGAGCATCTGTTTCACAGCCTTTAATGAGCAGATTTTTCTACATTTTCATGTACTGCAGAAGAAAAAAATAAGATGTGAAAAATGAAGCAGCTATGCAAAAAGAAGTGGGTTTTGTTCTTACCTTCCTCGTCCATTGTGTAGCTTGATGAAACTCCATCAGTGTCCGTGACAATACAAGAATAAATGCCCAAATCATTTTCTCCAAGATCTTTAAAGACAGCTTTCGACCTTCAGATAAAAAACATTAATTAAAAGCAGAACTGTGTCTGAACTGACCTTTCTGTCCCTAACAAATCCATATGTCTGCTATACCTCTAGCTGAGGAAGAGAATAGAGGTGCATGGTCAATGAAAAATCTGTATCTGCTAAATCTGTAAAGTCCCCTCCCCTCTGTCAACTATGCATCTAGAATAAGAAGGATATGAATAGTTTAGCTCTGATTAGTAAAGAGACAAAATGGGCAACTTCCAAGAGCAAAGCATATAGGAGTAAAGATGGCTAGGAAGCGTTGACATGCAACTGAAGTGTGTTTGCTGCTTTGTTTGTGGATATACCCAAATTAGATTTAAATTAGAGAGCTCATGTAGTATGGAGCTGGATGGAAAATCCACCCTGAGAGCTGGAAAAATAGTCAGGCAATTAGCCTGCGTTGAGCTCCATTCTACTGTGGCTACCCTGTTACAAGTTCACAACCTAGCACGCTTAAAGGTGGCATGGGTATGTCTACACAAGCTGCAGTCATAGGACTGCAGACATATCTTATACTACATAACAGGCACCTGTCCAGGGAGAAATTCTTCCTGGACCTAGTTTTTTATGGGAGGGATCAAGAAACATAGCAGGTTGTTATCCACCAGGGATGGGAGATACCAAATTGTTTTGAGGCTCTATAATAATCAGGACCCCCCCACACCCATATTAGTTTTTAAACATGTATTTACAGTTCCCTCCCCCCAAATAAAAGTCTGGGGAAATACATTAATTTTGTAGAGCAACCTGAAAGTCACCAAATCTGGAGTCTGGTGGAACAAAATGTTCCATTATTTACTGAAAAAATCTTGGAGGACCAGTCCCTTGTGATCAGGCTAAGGTGTTTGCTGCAGTACTTCAGGGGACTGAGACATTTGCAGTGTTACATGGTGAAAGAGCTTGAGCATTGAAGGCATAGAAAATTTATAGCTTCATAGATTAAGAAAAATCTTCAATAACACCTGAAAACTATGTGGTAGTTAGGTTAGGTTACAGAGCACATGTATAATGTCCTTTCTATGTAAAACACTATTTAAGTAATCAGGCTGCATCATTTCATTTTTGCTGCAATTTCTGAATAGTCTGAAAGTAGACTCCCATGAAGACAGCATGGTAACAATCTTACCTTCAGGCATGGATAATCTTGGTATCCATATCTAATACCACATTGGATGTGGTATTGGATCTGCATCCAATACAGTAGTGGATCCAGGACGGAAAAAAACAGGGTGTGTTGGCAGTGGAAAACTCACTGTGTACATATTTAGCAGCTGACACCAGAGCTCTCAGCAGCAAAACAGTAACAAAAGTGGGGTGGAACTGCACCACTGAATCTCCTTGAATCCACCCTTGATCAGATAAGATGGATTTCAGTTTCTAGAGCTGCTAAACATCATAGAATTGCTATTATCAAGGTTTCTTACTTTCCACCCTTAGTGTCAACGTCTAATCGAGAGTCATCTTCAATTGGTTCATAATTCTTGGACCAGATGAACTTAGAGTCTGGAGACATCTGATCACATTCAAAGTTGAGGGAAATGACTCCATTATCATCTACTTCCGCCACCACTTCTTTAGTTCCTAGAAGATCAACACAAGGCAATTCTACTTCTTTTTCATACAAAGAAGCATAAAGATTGGATGGTTTTCATTCAAAGAGTGAGCTCAAAGAAGGTTAATAAAATAATGATTAAAGAGGGTTCATAGATCAATGTGGCTACATGCACTTGGAAAAGGATTGTACATATCTGAAACTTGCAGCATGGAGCCCTGAGTTAAAAGAAGCTTTAAAAAAAGACTCATAGAAAAAATGTAATGCAGCAGAGAGAATGAAAATGAGCAAATGCAAGTACATTAAAATGCACAGGATGTTGAAATATTGTAAAGGCAATACTTCCCAAGGTAAGGTGCATCTATAGCTTTCTTTAGGCAGGGCAAATTTTTAATTTGCTAATAAAAAACCTAATAAAATGCCAAATGCAAAAGTGCATACTTTGGAAATAGGTGAATTGAAACACTGCAACACTCACTTGTACAACTGAACTACTATTCACAGTTCTGAGCTCATTCACACATACAGGTTGGATTAAACGTACAGCATATTGATCTGCAACAGCCTGTGAAATGCATTCCATGTCCACTAGTAGAGTGTGTATGTATTTGTGATTGGTTGCTAAGTGCAACACTTCAGGTGCATCTACACATCACCATACAGTGATGTTGCTAAGGCGCTGTGCTTCAGTACTTCCTTTTAGAGGTACTAAAACATGGTGCAGTATGGGTGGTTACTGCACTGTGCATGTGGCGCACAGTTAAATTTCACTGCTGTATCACCATGGTGGCACACCATACCTGGGAAGTGCACTGCCATGGCAGTGTAGCTGGCAATCATGTGTAGACACGATTGTTACGTCACCATAGCGCACCATATGGTAACGTAGCATGTTGCAATGTCACTGTAGGGCAACACGTAGATGCACCCTTTGATTCAAACTAAGACCTAGTCCTGACTACTATCTTGTCACTTGTTACTTGGTAAGGGCAAGATCATCCAGCACACTCCAGGAGGGTACCAAATGGAAAATAAAAGGTCCAGAACTAGAATATACTTAGAATCTACCCCTTTTGTATCCTTGTACAGATAAGAGGGCTCCATTTTGTGTATGAGTGCAGAGATAGCTCTGATCCACTCTTGAACATGAAGTTAACTTTTACTCCAACAGCTTGCCTGAGAATGTCTTGAAAGTGGTTTGCATTCAGGAGGAGGTGGAAAATATCCAACTTCTTTTTTTGGCACAGCACTGAACTTGACTGTAATTTTTTAAAAAGACGCTGATGTCACAATATCCAGTTAGGAAAGCCTTGGTGTGCCTAGAATGTTAATGACATCCTTTTACCCTAAACAGTTATATCTTAGAGAAAAGGGCCTCAATCACAAAACACTTGCAGAATTCTAAACAGTTATAGTAAATGCCTTATTTTCAGCACTTTTCTTAAATTCTGTGTTTCATCAGCCTGCAGCACCTTGCATGGCTTCTCCAGCACTGGGGACAGCAGCATGCTCCTTATAATAAATGTATTTGTGAACATGTAGCCTTCTTATCGTCTGTAACTTCCCTTTAATATTTAATGAAAGGTGAAATTCATATTTTTCTTACACCACTATTATCATTCTAGCACTTAATGTCTATGAATCTGTGAATGTATTCTCTAGCCCTTCTGATAATGCTCTTCACGGTTCAAAGATACAAGTTTAATACTAGTGAACTGTAAGTGAAGTCTCAGCTCTACAAATCTCTCACTGGGCAGCAGCATGTTTTTACGTTTTTCAAATAATCCATTATGTGGAAATCCACTTTTTGACATGTCATTAGCATTTGTTTCCACTGTAGATTGTTTGTACGTGAATCTTTTGATGACAGCGTAGATAATATATGAGAAAGACAGCCATAATGGCCAACCAGGATAAATATACTTTTTACTTACTTTTAAAATGTTCATAATATGATGATAATATTTGGCATTTATCTTGAGTAGTGGTGCATATGCAATTAAGTTCTGCTACATTTTCTGCGAGTTCTCTGTTTTTATTTTATTTTGCTGATGATTTACCTCTACCTTCAATTCTTAATTAGGCCATTAGAAAACCAAAGTATGTTTTTATATTATTAGTTTTATCTACCAGAGGTATTCATCAAGCCTTCAAAAAGGAACCAGAGAGGTAGATAAAACAATACCAGACAAATTCCTTTTCCTGATAGCATGGCAATTTTAACATGTTGTTTTGTATCTCATTGAAGATTTGCCATAGGAAAAAATACTTGGATTATATTAAAGGATATTATATCACCTATTAAATATCCTCAATTCTGCTGAGGGTTTCATTACAATGAAAGGAAAGAGAGAACATTAAGATAAGATGGACAGCTTGGAAACATCAAAGTTACTGCCATCATTTCAGATTTGGCCAATTAGAAGAGAATGGTTGAATGGGACAGTTTCATTAATTTCTGCAGTTTGGATTTAAAACTTTCTGAACTCACTGCCAAAGATCTTCCTCTAAAGCTGGAATTGCTCATTGATCAGCTGCAATGACTGTGGTGGCTAACAGGCTCTGTGATTAGTCTGAAACAGCAGAAATGTACGTAGGCTAGTAGCTCTGTTCTTGGGTCTGGAAGAGCTGTGCTCCCTGCAGAGCTAGAAGCCATGGCAAAGAGAATGGGCAAATGCAGCTCCATGTTTTCTAAAAGTGCTCTTAATTCGTTGGTTGGGGATCATTTCAGCTGTTCATGTAACTTGGAGCAGCCTGCTCTAAAACTAAGTTATTGGTAGCTGCAACAGCCCTCAAATTATTGTTTTTACAGTTGAGGATAACAGAGTCGAATAACACTATACATGGGCTCCCCTTTGAAAGCCACACAAGGACAATCCCCAACATTTAAGTGAGGTTTAAGACCCTGATCCTGCAATCTAATTCCAATGGGCAGTTTTTTAAGTCCAAGAAGAACTCTTTAAAATCAAGGGTGCTTTGCATAGGAGTGGTTGTCTAGCCATAAAAAGGCCCAACTGACCAACATAATATTTTGTATCCATCTAAGATCTGAATAACAGCAATGCTCATTAGAAAAATACCTTTCCTAAAAAGTGGAGAGTTTTAAGAATGGCACAATTATTACTGAGAAAGATAAAAGCTTGGCCCAGAAATGCTTTCTGAGGGAATTGTTTAATCAGTCTTTTCTTAAACTCATTTGTAAGAAGAGTTGCCTGTTCCCATATCTGCAGATCTGAACTAGAAATATGGGTCATTAAGCTCAGTATAAAACCTCAACTATCCTGAGAATTTTAATGGGCAGATGCCTGACTCTCCAAATCTCTGGACTTGGAACTGATGTTTTGGCTGCAACCTGTGTCCCTGAAAAAGAGTGCAACATGAGAAACAGCCACAGTTCTGCTTTGCAGTTCCTCTTCACCAAGATGTGTGGTCTGCAGGCCAAATGTTATGCTGATTTGGCCTTATGACTCCATAAGCTTCCCCTATTGTAGCTTTCAGAAATGTTGCTGAAGTTAAATCTCCTTGCTTTTTGTAAAAAAGCATCCCCAGTTCCCAATTAATGTAATTATCTATGCTTTTCTGTTCAATATGTCCAGGGCTTTTTAATGCAAGGCAAATGTGTTATCAGTCTGAAGACTAAACATTAATTCTCAAGGGAAAGAAATTAATACAAACAAAGTTTTGGAACTAAGTGTTCATCTGACTCTCTTTTTCATGAGGCTTGCCTTTCTTTGTGTAGAAACAGTTATCAGTTCCAACTGCAGAATGTGGCAAAAGTCCTAGTAAATCAAGAGCTCATAATACTGGGCTTTGTATGGCCACGTCCAGAAAAGCACAGACATTTGGTTCCCCAGGGACAACAAGCAGAGGGACACCTTGTGCCACTACTAGTTGTCCCAGGGGAATGCACATGCCATGTGTGCTCTGGCATGCGGCAGGTTACCTCAGGTTGGGTAGGGGAGGCTGGGGCCAACACAGTTGCTAGCCCCAACAGCTTTACCTGGGGTCCTGGGGGCCAGGGAAGCTGCAGCCATATCGCTTCTGCAGCTTGGAGCCTGGATGGCAGCTGGAGTGTGGCTCTGGCTGGCCAGGCTCCAATTTTAGGCAGTGCATGCTGTCCCCCTATGTGTCACCCCACCTTTTTCTGTGTGGGTTTTTTGACCCCTGGAGATGCTCCAGGGGTAACCCCCCCCCCCACCACCATACTGCAAGGTAGCAGCACAGGAAACACCTAAATGCGTGGTATGTGGTGTCCCAGATGGGTCTGCAGCACCACATACCTCATGGCTGCACTTGTCTGGACACTGTCTGTGTATTTATATTAAGTGATTATTAAATAGATTGTTTGAAAGATATTTAAGGAAATTTTTCATAATTTAATCACCCATTTTGATTTTAAATTTTCCAATATAAAATACAGCCTTTGTGTCCAGACTTATTTAATTTCAGTGTTTTCATCAGTTTTATGTATTACCTTACAGTTCTAACTATGATACCACATCTTGTGAGTCAGTCAAAAGCTCAACAGTGTCCTTCTATGAAATATTCAGAGGCAGAGTCTGAAGGGAGGAAAGCTTTTGGAGGCTCAAAAAGTTTTCTTCATCTTCTGTCTTTTCTTAGGATTTTTTTCCCTGTAGCAAAATCACAGGCCCAGAGTCCAAAATCATAGATACTGAAGTATTTGTATGGATTCAGGTACCCAATGCAGTTGTAAGGCTAACTGTGCAGGGATTTGATGTCTCTTCAGTGATTCCTGGGCTCTCTCTGTTCTTCTAGCCTTTCTAGCCCTGTGAAACCATGCCTCCCCAGCCAGCAGTTACTTCAGTTATCCTGAGACTACTTAATGGTAGTCTCCATGGCACTGACACTGTCTATATTCGCTTTTTCAAGAATTTAGTGGTGGCTGATAAAGGGGAAGGGGGGAAGAGATCTTCCCAGTCTGTCTCCCCAACACTTTCCATAGTGACAGAGGTGGCAGGTACATTTCCTGTGCTTATCTAATAAAAATAATTAGGCTCTGCATTTATGGGTCTTTCAGCAACTACATACAAACCTTATTAGCTTATCATATTTGTGTGTTCCAGTACATTATGGTATAGGCATCTAATTTTATTTAAAACATATTTAAAAAGCGATAAAACATTTCCATGTTCTGTTCTGCATAGGAAAAGGGCCTCGTAACTTTGTAATAAATGAAAAGACAGATGGATCCATTTCTTTATGTGAAATTCTGTTTATGAACATAGCTGACAAATATGGACCTGCTTTAATCAGATGCAAAACCAGAATATTTAACAAACCTGGCTGTGTTTGAGCTATGACTGGGTCAGTGAGATCAGATGGTTTCCCAACGCCTGCCTGGTTTGTTGCCCGCACACGGAATACATAGCTGACACCTTCCTTTAAGCCGGTGATCTAAGAAATAAACACAAATAATGTATACAACTGAGCACTGTTTTTATTCCACTTGGTCTGTTCCCCTGGTTTGCAGGACTGACAGTAATGTATCTGTTGTTTCTAACATTTTCCACTTGGCAAGTATTTCCTTTCTTATGTTTTGTTAGCCCAGACTAATGTGACTAACTTGTTTTTGTTTGCTACTTCCTTGTGTGTGTACCTTGTAGTTTTTCATAGTGTCATCAATGATGTTAGCATATTTCTGGGAACAGGATGGGGTTTTTTTAACTCCAGTTTTACTTATCTGTCTCTGAGGCAGCAGAGCAAACATTTCAAAGCACAGATATTTAGAATCTGGAGAATGTCGTCTGTTGGGCTACTGTGGTTTTAGCCTGTAGTTTGAGGACACTATAAGTGAATGTCTCTTTAAAAAGGCACATGCAAGGATAACATTTTAAAGTTAGGGGGTTTAAAAATCATCTGTGGATATATGCATCTCAAATCTATTCATTTGCACATTCCTGGGAGAATGTCTATAATCAAGTTACAGTTATCCTATATTTAGAAGCAGCTCCATGAAATTATGTACTATAATACAGAAATCTAAATTCAAACTCATGGTAGAATGTAATGACAACACTATATTATGCTTAAAAGAGTTATCCTGTCATATCTCCACAATATCTGTTTTGGTGATGTGCTGCTTATTTCACCTTTGA